CGGTTGAGACCTGATTTATGACCTAGGATGTGATCAATTCTGGAGAATGTTCCATGGGCACTAGAGAAGAATGTGTATTCCGTTGCTTTGGGATGGAATGTTCTGAATATGTCTGTGAAGTCCATTTGGTCCAGTGTTTCATTTAAAGTCCTTATTTCCTTGTTGATCTTTTGCTTTGATGATCTGTCCATTTCAGTCGGGGGGTGTTAAAGTCCCCCACTATTATTGTATTGTTGTCAATGTGTTTCTTTGATTTTGTTATTAATTTCCTTATAAAATTGGCTGCTCCCATGTTAGGGGCATAGATATTTACAATTGTTAGATCTTCTTGTTGGATAGACCCTTTAAGTAGGATATAGTGTCCTTCTTCATCTCTTATTACAGTCTTTGTTTTAAAATCTAATTTGTCTGATATAAGGATTGCCAGTGTCCATTAGCATGGTAAATGGTTTTCCACCCCCTCACTTTCAATCTGGGGGTGTCTTTGGGTCTAAAATGAGTCTCTTGCAGACAGCATATTGATGGGTCTTGTTTTTTAATCCAATCTGATAGCCTGTGTCTTTTGATTGGGGCATTGAGCCCATTTACATTCAGCGTCACTATTGAAAGATATGAATTTAGTGCCATTGTATTGCCTGTAAGGTGACTGTGACTGTATATTGTCTGTGTTCCTTTCTGATCTATGCTGCTTTTAAGCTCTCTGCTTAGAGGACCCCTTTCAATATTTCTTGGAGGGCTGGTTTCGTGTTTGCAAATTCGTTTAGTTTTTGTTTGTCCTGGAAGCTTTTTATCTCTCCTTCAATTTTCAGTGAGAGCCTAACTGGATATAGTATTCTTGGCTGCATATTTTTCTCGTTTAGTTCTCTGAAGATATCATGGCAGTCCTTTCTGGCCTGCCAAGTCTTTGTGGGTAGGTCTGTTGCCAATCTAATGTTTCTACCATTGTAGGTTACATATCTCTTCTCCCGAGCTGCTTTCAGGATTTTCTCTTTGTCTCTGAGACTCGTAAGTTTTACTATTAGATGTCAGGGTGTTGACCTATTTTTATTGATTTTGAGAGGGGTTCTCTGTGCCTCCTGGATTTTGATGCCTGTTTCCTTCCCCACATTAGGGAAGTTCTCTGCTATTATTTGCTCCAATATACCTTCTGCCCCTCTCTCTCTTTCTTCTTCTTCTGGGATCCCAATTATTCTAATGTTGTTTCATCTTATCGTATCGCTTATCTCTCGAATTCTGCCCTGTGATCCTGTAGTTGTTTCTCTCTCTTTTTCTCAGTCTCTTTATTTTCCATCATTTGGTCTTCTATATCGCTGATTCTCTCTTCTGCCTCATTTATCCTAGCGGTTAGAGCCCCCATTTTTGATTGCACCTCATTAATAGCTTTTTTGATTTCGACTTGGTTAGATTTTAGTTCTTTTATTTCTCCAGAAGAGGTTTCTCTAATAACTTCCACGCTTTTTTCAAGCGCAGCTAGTATCTTTAAAGTCATGATTCTGAACTCTAGGTCCGACATCATACTAATATCTGTATTGAGTAGGTCCCTGGCTGACGGTACTACCACTTGCTCTTTTTGCTGAGGTGATTTTTTTCGTCTTGTCATTTTGTCCAGAGGAGAATAGATGAATGAGAGAACAAAATGCTAACAGGTTAACAACGTCCCCAGCATATATACTCTATACAAATCAGAAAAGACCTGAATCCAGGGGAAAAGAAAGGGAAAGAAAGAAAAAAGAAAGAAGAGAAAAAAAAAAGAAAAAGAAAAAGATAAAAACAGATAAAAACAGAACAAAACAAAAAAAAAACAGAATATGATCAAATATGATCAGGCTAGTGCATAGATCAGTGCCACACACTGGATTTTGGGCTTATTTTGGTCTCTTAGAAGAAAGTGCCTCCTAAAATTTTAAAGGAAGAAAGACTTATATATGTACAAAATAAGGGTTGATACAATGAAGGGATGGAAGATGAGTGTAAAGATCAAAATTATAAAAGATTTTATAAAAGGAATTGATAAGATAAGAAGTTGTTTGAAAAAAGAAAGCAGATTAAAGAAAAAAAAAGGGAGAGAATGTGATCAGGCAGGAGACTAGAACAAAGCCATACACCAGTGATTTAGGGTATATTTTGATCTGTTAGAAGAAACTGTATCTCAAAATTTTAAAGTGAGAACAACTCATATATATATATGCCAAAATAAGGGTAACTACCATGAAGGGATAAAATATGACTCTAAAAAAGAAAAATAAAAATTGTTTTTTTTTTAAAGGGATTGATAAGATGTTGGTTGAAAAAGGGAAAAAGAAAAATTCAAAAAAAACAGTTAAAAAAATTAACTTTGGAAAACCAATGAATCATGGTAAAAAAGCCATGAATTCTATGTGCAGTATTCCCCTAGCGCTGGAGTTCTCCCATTCTCCTTGATCGGTAAACTTCGTCTTGGCTTGCTGGCTGTTCCTGCTGATCTGGGAGAGGGGCCTGTTGCCTTGGTTCCCAAATGTCTTTGCCGGAGGCGGAATTGCCCCGCCCTTGTTGGTCCGGGCTAAGCAATCTGCTCGGGTTTGCTCTCGGGAGCTTTTGTTCCCTGCAAGCTCTCCGTATAGCTTTGGAGGACCAGAGTGAAAATAGTGGCTTCCCAATCTCCGCCCGGAGGAGCCGAGAACTCAGGGCCCCGCTCCTCAGTGCACCCCCAGAGAAAAGCAGTCACTCCCGTGTCCCCAGTGTCCAGCTGCACTCCGTGCTTACCGGGCCTGTGACTGAGAATTTCTATCTCTGGCTCCCGACCCCGTGTAGAGTCTCCAAATGCAGCAGATCCCTGTGGTGCATTCCCATGCTGCTCCTCCCAGGGGAGGAAGGGGACTCTCCCTGGATCTGCTGCTTGTTGGATCTCTGCTGGAGGAGCAGTGGCCCGACTGTGCCGCAGGTCACAGTTTATGGCAACCCCGAGCTGAGAGCCCGAGCCTCAGCTCCGTCTCTGCAGCTGGCTTCCCCAATCCGATACCTGGGAGCTCTGCTGCACTCAGGCACCCCTGGTCTTTCTTGACCCCGAGGGTTCTGAGACCCTCTGTCCCGCGAGGGTTCCACCCCCAGCTTAGCCACTGGAGCGACGTCCCTCAGCGGAGCGGACTTCTAAAAGTTCCAATTTTGTGCTCCGTGGCTCTCTCACTTGCCAGAAGAGGCTGACGGAGGCCCCCCCCCCCCCGCAGTCTATCCTCCCAAATATCACCTCGGATTCACTTCTCCGCATGTCCTACCTTCCAGTAAGTGGTCGCTTCTCTGTTCAGAGAGTTGTTGCTACTCTCTTCTTTGGTCTCCTGTTGAGTTTGTAGGTATTGAGAATGGTTTGATCCCTATTCAGCTGAATTCCTGAGACCAGACGAAATCCGGGTCTCCTACTCTTCCGCCGTCTTGCTCTGCCCCCTCATTTGTCTTAATTCTAGTGCTCTTAATTATAGTAAGAATGGACAAATGTTATATAACCTGGTAAAAATACCCAGCTCTCTCACAGCACTTAAAGTAATTGCATTAGCTTATGTCAACTTCGAAGCTCTTTATGACTGCCAAAGAAAGGACTAAACTACTAGAGATACTTCAGAATCCTGTATCAAAAAAAAATATACAGCATAGGGAATATATTCAATGGTATTGTATGGTGACAAATGGTAGCTACACTTGTGGTGAGCATATCATAATGTACAGAGTTGTCCAGTCACTTTGTTGTATACCAGAAATACCTATAGAAACCATTGTGTGTCAACTATACTTTAATACTACAACTACAACAACAACAAAAAACAGACAAATAGATCCTCTCTGGAAAGATTACTTTGGAAGAGTAACTACTATGGTCTTTCTGAGTAATTAAGTTGGTGAAGTCATCATCCCTAACTAACTAGGATATGAAAAATTTAAGTCTTGATTTCAGGTGGTATAGATAAAGATAGGGAAATATATAGAATTCTTAGGAAATTTGGGGAAAAATGTCCATATTCATTGGTAATTTTTGAAAAAGTGTTTCTCTTGGAAATCATCCACTGAAACGTACCCTAAAGTAGACCCTTTGAAGCCCTAGTAGGAGGAAGGAATCAGGTGTTGCCAGATTTGAACTTAGCTTTCACAATTTTCATGTCCTTTCTCTTTTGGCTGAGTCCTGATTTCTCTGCTCTTTGTTGCTCTTTCTCTTTAGATTTCCTTTGAGGCTTGATTTGTTGGTAAAATATTTAAACTGCCACCAGTACTTGTTTTCTCTAATTATCATTTTTTTTAACAGTAGAGGTTTAGTTAGGCTTTCTGCTGATTTATACATAAATAAATCAGTTGTTCCAGTAATATGGAGTAAGGACAATGAAAAATATCAGATTTAGAGAAGACACTAGAGATAACACAAATTAAAGTTTTAGAGAAATTAAATACTTTACCCAAAACCGCATATCTGGTTAAGTGTTCTGGTTGAGATCTGAACCTAGGTCCATCTGATTCCTTTATTAACCACTGCAATATATTGCCTTCACATTTTTTTTTACAAATTAATGTCATGCACATGGTTTTATTACATATTTAGAATTATTCCTTAGAGCATATCTCTTGAAATGGAATTATGAGTTTAAGAGATACTGTATTTCATTGTATTTTGCAAAATACTGCAAGTTTGCTTTCTAAAAGGGTTATGTAAATTTGAATGGGATCAGTGATGTATAAATATATAATTTTTACCAAAACATTGCTGACATTGCTTATCATATTTAAATTTTTCTTTTTATTATGTGGAAAATACTACCTCAGGGCCTTAATTTTCTATCATTTATTTATCGATTTACCTAGGCATTGAGCATATTATAGTTTCTAAATTCATCTGTACTTAAAGAGGTACTAGGTAATAGGGAGGTAAAGGGGGTTGAAAACGTGAATGTGAAACCCTTTACTTCAGGGAAAATTTTCTAAAAGACACTGGAATTAAGAAATAGATGAATAAAGAAAAGATAAATAGATGAATAATAACTTACCAAGAGGTACTGGAGTAACTGGCAGAATAACATGAAATAAAAATATATTAACAGAGTTTCTGGATCAAAAATATAGTTTCCTTCTTTTATTTTTCCAACGTATTAGCAAAGAGATCTTTGGAAGACACCAAACTTCCCCCAGTAAAAACATCCACAGTGAAATAAGAGGGATTAGCATTTCTTTTGTGGTACAAGAATAGTTTCAATCTGACTTAACTGGCTTCCTTATATTTTAATTTAGTAGAAAGGCAGAGTAGGCTAGAGCATATGTGCTTATGCCATTCTTTTTCTTTCTCATCTAGTATGGAGGATTTAAATCCTGCAGAGAACTTTTAAACAATAGCAAATTTGAATGCTAATTGCAGTTATTCTCTTTCCTCTCCTTACACCTAAGATATCTTCCCGATTTTTCCTCTATCCTTTGTTGGTATCTTAAATTTGTGGTATCCCACTGCATATATCTTTTCTTTAAGCTGTATGGCAAATTTTATTTGTTATTAAAAGCTATTTGAAATTGTTTTTAGAAAATAAAATATTTCTTTTATACTTAGTCTCTTAGTCAAATGTTTATTCTTTCTATTAACTAATTACCCAGCAAGCTGCCAAGAGGGAGAGGAAATATTTATAAAGACAAGCATTGAAAGGGATTGGTCAGAGTTAGAAAACATTTTCTCCTTATTTTGGGATCCCAACTTGTACCAGATTTATGAAAAGAAAAGGAACTTACTGATAGATACTGCTACATGTGCTAAAATCCAAACACAAATTATTAGTATAGGTTGACACTGATAACAAAATTGACATTGATAATAATCTTACTGATACTATTTCCAGATAGGAATTTCTAGAATGAAAAGGGAAAGCAAACTCCAGAACTTTGACATGAGTTACTTTAGTCTCTCTTTTCCAGTAGTAACATAGTCATTTTGAAAAAGGGGCCAAGAAGTGTTATTTTCCTTTTATCATCCAGTTTCTTTCAGAAATTGAAATACCACGGAGCTGGAAAAACCTCATTTCCTATAAATTTTGCTTCCATTTTCATTCTATTCTCTTCTCTCATTGCTTACTCTTTCATGAGTTTTCCCACTTTGTTCTCTGTCATTTCTACCTTATATTTAGTTGAAAATGTATTTTGTTGAAAAGTCAGTAGGGGCAATCTGAAGAGATATTCATCTCACTCAATTATTTCTCTTTCTCAGTTTCATTTTCCAGATATTATTTAGTAATCCAAGAGGGAAGAAGTTGGTTGGTATGCTGTAAGCAAAGATCAGTGCACATGAGTGGCTCCAGCCCAGTTAGAAACGAAGATAGATCTTATTTTTCCTGCTTCCCTCCTCAGGCAATAGTATATGATCTCTATTATGTCCTTAAGTCTTGTTTTAAGTGGGACATTTTAACTTACTAGGAAAAAAAATCAATCATGTTTATTTTTTCCACCAATCTTTATGGTCTATGTTTTGTATGAAATCATAGATATTCTAGTAGGATTCTGAAGAGAGGGTATGAGAAATATAATGTCTATTTTTCTTTTGAAATGGAAACAGCTACATTTAGAAAAAAAACCCCACAGACAGTGCATAACAGAAATCTCAAACAGAAAGGGAGTTTCTTAGAATTGCAGGTGTCTTAAAGTGGATACAGAGAACATGACTGTCATTGATACTGTTCAATGACTGAAGACGAATATACTCTCAATTACTACTAAAACATATATGTCAGATGCAAGAGCTCCATTTTTAGAAGTGAAAGAAATGAACTACTTTTTCTTTGCATTCTCCCTAATTTCTCTGAATAAGAAACGTGTCAGGAATGTTTAAATTCATATGTAAACTCCTAGAAGGCAGTTATTTTCTTCACTTTTGGTCCCTGCTGTATTCACAGTGTTTGGCACAGGGTAGCCCCTCAATATATAAATAAATACATTTTGAATAAGTAACGTCTCAGTTAATTTAACTTTGCCAATTGAATTTTATTTCTGACATCTTCTACTTTTTAAATTTTCTACCAAAAGCATTTATAAACTCTAGTAAAGTAGTTACAGCTAGCATAGTTTCCCATAGGTGACAATTTACAACAAATGTTCAGAAGCATTATTTCTAATTCCAGGTCAACTTTAGCCAGCTCAGTATTTGATTTGCCATTTGTGGGTTTTTTACTTTCTAAAATAATTCCTCAGTTACTTTAGAGGAAGTTATTTAATATAAAAACAAGAGAGACAAAGTTGAAAAATTTGAATGTTAAGGTCTTTCATGTTCAGAAAAGGATATAACTAGTGTAGGAACCAACCCCAGAATTGATGAATAGATATAGAACTTACTTGGTTCTTCTTGTCTTGCTGCAAAAAAGAAATCAAATAAGTAAGTGAGTGAAAGATTTCTGGATGAACAGCAGAGTTACTTCTCAAACTTTATGCTGGAAGTTTCAGAAATAAGACTTGGAGAGACCACCAAATGTTGTATTTAGAATCAATTCAATATGATTTGAGAATGAATATCTTCAGATTGTTCTGCAAATGTCCTCTTAATTTGGATTCCTTTTTGGAAGAAAAGGTTAAGAATGGAATCATTGGAGATGCTATTTCTTCCTCCTGTTTTCTCTCTGCTGATTCAAACATTGACTGGTACGATTTTTATGTCACTTACACTTTGTTTTCTTCTTATTATTCCTCTCTTCCCATCACTTCTTTGGAATGATTTATTGGTTTATCATGATCATTACTATGATTCTTGTTTTGCTAATTACTGTTCATTATGTTAATTTTAGAAAGTTTTCTCTTTTCTCTATAAACATAGATACCTTAGGGCTGGGTGACCATATTTCTCACCATTTGATTGGGATGGAGGCACTGCTGGACTTTTAGAGCCTGGATTTGATTCCCAATCTCTGCTGCTCATAATTGTGGGATCATGGGCAAGTTACCTAGTCTCACTCTTTTATTCTCTTTGTAATAGGAATAATATCTGATATAATGTATATGCATGTATAAAGTTCTGAGTACAGCACCTGGTACATTGTAATTACTGAATAAATATTATTTATTATTATAATACCACATTAAGTACCAATTAGTTTCAGTTATAACCTCCAAATGGACCCTGATAGTTGAAAATGGAACAAACTACTGGAGCTAGGAATAGAGAAACAAGAAGTTAAAAGGCGAGAAATGCTGAAAATATTAATAAACTACAGAGTCAGAAATACAAATCTTAAGTCTTGGTATATTCACACTACAACAGAGCACAAAAGGGCCACTAATACCATAAAAAAACCAATGATAACAATATAATTGAGAGAAACATGGAACTTACTCTTAGATTTCTCAGGTCTTGCTTTGATAAAAAAGACAAACAAATTAGTGTGATTGATGAAACAGAAACACATTTTCACTGATGCCATTCCTGGATGAGCATCACACACTGAACAATAGTGAAAAGGATGATTAAGCAGGGATCTCTTTGCCTTGGGAATGTTCTGGAAGGAAGGATCCGGAGCTAGTGATGAGGCTCACTTTACCTTTTCCTCTAGATCCCTGATTATGTGAAGTAAGGAAATGTATTATATTCCAACCTATTTTAGTTGAGCTACTTTCTTGGTCCTCCTTTGTCATTTTACTTTTCCAGTCTGCACCCACAAACTCCATCTCTGCAGTCCTCACCAAGATTCCTTACTTGATTTGCCCACTCTGTCACTCCCTTTAGTGAGAGCTTCATCGAACCCCACACTTAGCATGGCCTCTGCAAGAGCAGGCACTTAACAAATGTTTACTGGAAAAAATTCTCCCTACTCTCACCAGCATCAGAGTGCTCCTCCTTTCCCTCTGTTCTCTTCAAGCACCCATTAGGGAGATTTTGTGCGTTATATAAAGGTGAAACAGGTATGGGGTATATGAAGGCATGCAATGATCTCTGTTACAAGAGCATGAGGGTGAGCAAAAGAGATTGCTGGGAGAGGGGTGATCATATGACATTTTTTTAAAGCAGGTTTTAGTCTATATATTTTTATATTTAAAGCAGGTTTTTGATAGTGCATTGTAGCATCTTGCTTTTTTAAAAAATTTTTTTATTGTTATGTTAATCACAATATATTACATCATTAGTTTTTGATGTAGTGTTCCGTGATTCATTGTTTGTGCATAACACCCAGTGCTCCATGCAGAATGTGCCCTCTTTAATACCCATCACCAGGCTAACCCATCCCCCTACCCTCCTCCCCTCTAGACCTTCAGTTTGTTTTTCAGAGTCCATCATCTCTCATGGTTCGTCTCCCCCTCTGACTTACTCCCCTTCATTCTTCCCCTCCTGCTATCTTCTTCTTTTTCTTTTTCTTAACATATGTTGCATTATTTGTTTCAGAAGTACAGATCTGTGATTCAACAGTCTTGCACAATTCACAGCGCTATGACATTTTGTGCCTAAGTCCTGGAAAATTTTTAGCTGTGAGATTTTGAAAACTTGATCAGGCTAGGAAAAATAATTTCAAAGTTATAAGGAGGTTTTTTTTTTTAATCTAGCAAGAGGTAAAATAATTAATACACTTTTGGGGCAGCTTGTTCTTTTGTTCTAGGGAATCACTAGAAAGAGCCAGGTGTGAAAAAGCAAAGAAGAGATCAGATGACAAAGTAAGATTTGAAAAAGAGGTATCTGATACACTATGACTCTGAGTAATCAAACTACATGTAAGAATGAGAAAACCCACAAAGAAGGAAATTATTGTTTTCTAAGTATGAATTTCGGTTGCGTTAATGGTGAAAACTGTTCCTTGAGTGTGGAGGAATGTGTGTGTGTGTGTGTGTGTGTGTGTGTGTATTCTTGTTCACAGTTGACTAAGCAGCAATTTCACTGAAGTAGTATTATGAGACTGAACTCAAGCTGTGCTAATTTGGGGCTCAGATTATAAGTATCAGTGCAAAGTATGAAAATTTCATTCTTCATGGAACCCAGCACCCCAAGTCATTTTGAAGATCAGTAGTTTTTTTCAGAAGCAGAGCCTTGACAAAGAAGGGCATCCCTCATGGAAGTAAGTGGGGTTCCTTCAAATAACCTCATGGACAGTGAATAAAATAAGAGGAACCAGATGTTTGTTCTGGTAGACTAGTGGATGAGAATGTGTCATCACTCCCTTAGAGATTCTCAGAGCTTGAAGGAACAGGGTGCATTGCAAGAGAGGCTGGATCTTTTGCAGGTGGATGCACTGGTGACCATACCAAATGTTGCGATGGATTCTTAGGGCTTCACAGTATTATTGTTTTATTTGCTTTCTTTTTGAGATATTGTAAAAAAATAATATCTCAGAAATCAATAATCATACTACCTATAATGTAATGTTTGTCATATTCCCAATTTTTCTTCTAAGAAAAAAAATAATAAAGAGATGTCTAAAATCCCTTTGAATCACCAATCCCAGGTTCATTTTCTTCCCTCAATTAAGCATTCCAGTGTGTATCCAGTAATTTTTAAAAGTACTTTGATATATATGTGGATCCTTAAGCAATATGGTGGGTTCCAATATTTTTTGCTTTAATTTGCATAAGTATCATCTTTTTAAAAAACACTGATACATAAATTGTTATTCAATTCTCTGAAATACTTATTTTTTATTATTATGTGTCATCTTTTAATATCAGTTTGTATCAGGAAATATTTTGCATCTGGCTTGTTTCACTCAACACTATGGAGATCTTTTCTCAATTATATACACAGACATTTAGAGTTAGTTCATGTTAAACTGCTATATATTATTCTATCTTATGAGTTTATGTATGTTGATTTATTTCTGATTTTTAAATGTCAGGATAAACATCTTTGTACATGACATTTTATGTACAAATGTAAGACTTTAATGTTTATACCCAGAAGTAGAATCCAAGATTTACTTATTTATTTGAGAGAGAGAGAGTGCAGAGGGAGAGAGAGTCTTAAACAGACTCCACACTGGGCACAGAGCCTGACTTGGGGCTCGATCTCACAATCCTGACGTCATGACCTGAATGGAAACCAAGAGTCTGATGCTCAACCAACTGTGCCACCCAGGTGCCCCTTTACCACATATTTTAATAAATATTTGATCTTGTCAAGCTTTAAAATTTTGGCCAATATATTTTGAGAAAAGTAGTATCTCATGTTTATGTTGTTTTTTTTTATCATTAATGAGATTTGGCAACCTATGTTTATTAGCATTCAGTTTCTCTATTTTGTGAACTGTTTATTCTTATCCTTAAATCATTTAATTTATTTTTCTTACTGATTGTGAGATTGTATTTATATTGTTAATGCTGATAACACTGATAGTTATGCACACTGCAAATATTTTCTCTTAGTCTGACTGCCTCTTGTCTTTTATCCTTATTTGTAGTGTGTTTGGTCAATAAAATTTTGAATTTTTGTTAGTTAGCATTTATGTTACTTGTTTTCTGGGTGTTTTAAAAGAAAGTCTCCTCCTTATCTGAGTCATAAATTTATTCTTCTATATAAGGATCTGTCTCTGGCTTCTGATTTTATAATATATAAACTTCATTTATATTATATATTATCGACATTATATTATATATTATTGACATGTAACATGTAAGTTTAAGGTATACAATGTGGTGATTTAATACATGTATATACTGTAGTATGATTACCACAATAAGGTTAATTAACACGTCTAGTCTCTCACATATTTACCATTGTGTGTGTGTGTGTGTGTGTGTGTGTGTGGTGATAACATTTAAGATCTTCTTACAATTTTCAAATATACAGTACAGTAATGTTAATTTTAGTCACCATGCTATACATTAGATCTCTAGAACTTATTCATCTTGTAGGTGGAAGTAGGTACCCTCTGATCAACATCTCCCTATTTCTCCCACCCCACCCCAGCCTCTGGCAACCACCGTTCTATTCTCTAGTTCTGAATTCAGATATTTTTGATTCCACATATAGGGGAGAACATTTATCTTTCTCTGTCTGCATATCTCATTTAGCATAATGCTCTCAAGGTCCATTGATGTCACCAAAGGCAGGATTTCCTTTCTTTATGACTGAATAATATTTCATTGTGTTATCTATATATGTACCCATTCATTGTGTGTGTGAATGTATATGTATATACACCCTTTTATCCATTGACAGGCAGTGAGATTTTTTCTATGTCTTAGCTATTGTAAATGATGCTACAGTGAGCATAGGGGTACAGATTTCTGTTTGAGACAGTGATTTTATTTCCTTCACATAAATATTCAGATGTAGGTTTGCTGGATCATATCGTAGTTCTATTTTTAATTTTTGAGGAACCTCATAGTGTGCACTCACCAACAGTGGACATGGTTCCCTTTTCTCCATTGCCTCACCAACACTTTTTTCTTCTCTTTATGGTAATAGCCTTTATAACAGATGTGAGGTAATATCTCATTGTAGTTTTGATTTGCATTTCCCAGTGATGTTGAACATTTTTTCATGTACCTGTCGGTCACTGTATTGTCTTCTTTGAAAAAATGTCAATTCAGTTCTGCTGCTCATTTTTAAATCAGATTTTTTGCTATTGAGTTGATGAGTTTCATATGCATAATATATGGGATAGATGTATGAAATGAACTTAACAGATGGGGGTTTGCAGATATTTTTTCTAATTCCATAGGTTGCCTTTTCATTTTGTGGATCATTTCTTTTGCTATACAGTAGCCTTTTAGTTTGGTGTAGTTCCACCTTTTTATTTTGTTGAGTGTTAAGGAGTTTTTCCTAAGAATTTTACAGTTTTCAAGCTTATCCATTTTGAGTTTATTTTTGTGAGTGGAGTAAGATAGGAGTCTAATTTCATTCTTTTGCTTGTGAATATGTTTTTTCCCAGCATCATGTATTGAAGATACTATAATTTTCTTGGCTCCCTTGTCAAGTGTTACATGACTATGAACGGGTTTATTTCTGGGCTCTCAATTCTATTCCATTGGTCTATATGTCTGTTTTATGCCACTAACATACTATTTTGATTACTATAGCTTTGTAATAGAGTGGATGAAATGTGATGCCTCCAGCTTTGTTTTTCTTGCTCAGGATGGCTTTGGTTATTCAGTCTTTTGTGGACCATACAAATTTTAGAATTGTGTTTTCTGTTTCTATGAACAATACCATTGGACATTTGATAGGAATTGCACTAACTCTATAAGACAGTTTTGGGTAGTATGGACTTTTAACAATATTAATTCTTCCAATCCATGGAATATCTTTCCATTTACTTGTGTCTTCATTTTTTTTTAAAAGATTGTATTTATTTGAGAGAGAGAGAACACAAGCAGGGGTGGGGCATGGCAGAGAGAGAGGGAGAAGCAGATTCTTCGCTGAGCAGGGGGCTG